TTACTTTACTGTAGATATGAGTTGTAGTTGTAGATCAATGGGGTTTACCATGTAGATATGTGTCTAGACTGTTTACATATAAGCTTAAATCAAGCTCGAGTACGGATCGGAGACTGGACAAACGCTATAGCTTGGTAAGGCCGATTACGGTCGATGTACGGCTCGATTCGCCTTAACTTGAGCCAGCACGAGTGCTGTATGAATCTGATCAAGGAATCCCAGCATGCTAACTGCTGGCTGGGTTATACTGTAGCTTTTAAGCCAGCAATTGGTTTCATTTACATTTGAAGAGAAATGTCAAAATATCTACTCTATTCATTTATTTAGCTAAAGCTTTTAGATAATGCAAATTCTTAAAACTAGAAGATTGTTGTTTATTTCCCACCGAGTTTCAAGTGAAACCTAACCTATTTAGCTATTTAGCTATAACTAAGTTATACTAACTTTTTTCACTGATTCCGAATCCGATCGTTTTTCATGGCGGTTTCAAATTTTCGATTTAAATCCATTTGAAGTTTGTGTAAAGAAAAGCTGAATGTTGAGCTAATTATTTGACTGCGCGAGTATCAAGCGATCTTACGTCCCTCGAAGACATGTCATCGTGGCCAGGTGGTTAAGGCTCTAACCCTCTGGCCCCTCGTTTGAAGCCCAGGATTTAGAGGCAACAACTTTTGCTTTTCTTGAAAAAAGACTCTTTTACCTAACCACCTGGCATATAAATGTGAATCTAGAATCTTGCAAACTGGAAAATAGGCTAGGGTCCTTCTTTGAAATTCGTTTAGGTAAATCAACAAACAAACAACAACAACAATAAAACAACAAACTTAGGCTACAAACTCGAGAATCGACACGGCTCGTTGACGGCTTTTCTCTCGATTTTGGATGAAGAGTTCACGGCGATTCCCGATGATGCAATAATTAATGAGAATTATAAATGGAAACAGTTCCATTACTTATTTAAACATTTCAGGATTACATCAGCGAGGATTCATTCGATCTACCAAGTGCACGGCCCATCTTCTACTCATACTATGTGGAACTTGGTTTAGAACAAAGGGTTAATTAAATATACTGTAAAAGCCCAATCGTTGCAGTATCTCCGTAAATATTTTCCACTTGAACAGCTTTGAAGTACTGTAACGGCAAGTTACAATGGCCAGAGCTTCTCGAATGAATATTTTATCTCTAAAGCCCATTTTCAGTTGAGGCTTTGAATTTCCACATGATCCGCTCTTGTCGAGTATCGAGTGGAATTCCCATCGTATTTCATTCCAAGTAATAGATCAGGTTGAACCTCTGTTAATAAAATCAGGTTCAATAAAATTTATTTAGTCACAAATGGGACAAAAGGAGAAGCTGAAACAATCAGCGGACGAACAAGGAACATTTTACGCGAAAAAGAAGTGGCAAGGTAGAAAAGGGTTGAATTGGGGTACTGTAATCGGTTACACTAATTTACTACCGTATGCCGAAGAGTCCAGCGATAAGAATGAATCATATTTTCGGTACTTATCGGTCTTACCTCAGCACTTTGCATTAAAAGCGATCAATTTGATTTAAAGGGCATCGGCCAAAGTACCGTTTTCTCTTGTCTCAAGGTATCAAATTGAAATCATAGACCTAATATCTCAAAAACAAAATTTTATCTAACTTTCTTATAGTCGGAACCTTGTCTCAAACTATGTAAGCACAAATTTCCCGTTTTAGGACCAAGTGACGGTGCTCAATCACCTCTTTGAGATTGCCTTTAAGCCATCGATCCAACTATAGCCTCAAGAATGAAAATGAAAAGCGTATTTCAAAGGTGCGAAAATTTATTTCACGATTTAGTCTCCTGGCCGATCCTCGTTTTTCTTGTTTGCTCGCAAGATTTTCGGGGTCGATGCTTCATCTCTGGCTATGGTTCAGTTCAATTGCCGATGCTTGGATTCAAGTGACCAAGAAACATTAAACATAATAGTTTTTTAAATCAATACAGGCAAGAGTTCAAGCAGAAACGATTGTTGGAGACTCAAGGCCTCCGAAAGTCAGCGCTTTGCTCCGTTGAGGTGAGACAACAATATTAAATACCCTGTTTAATTTGAAAACATTTTCAGAGATTTGCTCATTGGAGATATTCACGACTAAAGGATTATCTTGAGAACAAGGCACTGGTAAATAAAAACTTTATTACCATTACTTCCAAAATTTTGATATGTTTGCGTAAAATGCGTAAGACACGTATCAAGGATAATTAAAACACAAGAAATATTCAGAACGGGTCCTCATGAGCCGGCCTATCACGACTACTAGCTCTGGCACACCCCGGCTCCGATGTTCTCGCTAATCCAATCTCAGAAATTTTGTCTCCACCGAAAGTGATGAATCGCCTCAAATATGGTTCAATGTTGGATAAAATTGGGTGAGGAATAAACTATTCATAAAGTGAAGAGAAATTTAGCATCAACTCATCACTTCACTGGAGGATTATGAAAGTTTTAATGGAATTTGAGGAGGCTCGGAGAGAGTTGTTGAGAATTCGCGCAAGAAATAAGCCCCACAATAAATTGAACAGTCAATTTATTCCCAAAGATTCAATAAAGTACACATTGAAAGGAGTACACCGGAAAACTCAACAAAAAAACCAACTTTTTACAATGTTGCCAGTTTGGCCGTATGTTTCTTCATAATGGGAAGATGCGTCCAAATTTGATTCGGATCGTTGATCACATCGTTGTCCTATAAAATTAGCAAGTTATAGAAGCAAAAAACAAATAACCAAATGTTTCAACGTTTCCATTTTAGCCTCTCGAAGACTCCATTCACGAATTATTGACGTTTCTGTAGGTTCTTCCAAATACACGAGTATCGCAAACCGGACCTAAAAATAAATTTTAAACAAAAATTCTTGCTTACATGGACGTGATCGACCCGGAGATAAAAACGGACTAGAGCGAAGAAACAAGTTGGCATCACTCAGAATACGAGCGCTATACTGAAAAAACTAATTACATAAATTTGCAAACAATGCCATCTACCTGCGCCATTCCGTGATCGTGAAGCTCGTCTTCGTAAAGAACATTTTGAGCATAGAAAAGGATTGGGTCCTGGCGCTTTTTAGAGTTTCCCATATCAATCGCATCTTCCGTTTCAGATTCCTAAAATTAACCGAATAAAAACTCTGGCCAAGTGTCCATACATGCACTTCTTTTTAGTAATGCCAGCGTATTCGGTTGCATAAGTCCAATCAAAAGGCTTTTCGTATTCTCGGAATCCTTCCAATCCCTTTCGAGCTTCTTGCCAAGTAGCTGCAGATGCAACCTTACAAAATAAAATTAATAAAGATTTTTTTTGTTATTTTCCAAACCTGAAAGTCTGGCAATTTACTTGTGCTAACCATCTTCAAAGCTTCCAATGCCGTAAAACTTATCTAAAACACTCGAATACAATTTATTTTAATTAAATGATACCTGCGCATTTGGGTGATTCTTCCAACGAATGATAAGTTCATTGTCTGGAAACAGAAGTTCGGGACGATGCGGTAATAGGGAAAGTTCTCTTCCAAACAAGCAAATCTCAATTTGCAAAGCGTATTAGTAAAAACTTGTGTAAGAAACCTTGCACTTTTGAGCTCCATCATCATCATCTTCCGCGTGATCACATTGCGATGAAATGATGTGATCCCAAATACTCTCGAAACGGTATTCTCCTTGCTCATAGGACTCCTAAAAATAGAAATTTAAAACAAAACGAGTAAAAAACTATGTTTGTAGTAGGTCAAGAAAGCTTGCTCAAGTCAGTAAGAAAAGTTTCTTCAGGTTTTTATCGAGGGTTTGTTTCTTTTCCAAACTGTTTTAAGGCTCATCCCCTAACTTTTTTGCTGGATTGAATACAAATTGGTTTACCTAAATTAATGAATAGCCTAAAAAAGATTCGGTAGAAAAAATATTAATACCGCCTTGAGACGCAATATTAGAATAAAAATTGAAAAGTTCCTGATGTGCAAGTTAAGCTTTTCAACTAAAAAATAAAAAAGTTACTCACCTCCTTGCGAGCATTTCTCTTCGCACTTTCGATGATGTAGTTAGCGGGCTGTCGAGAGTCTTTCGAAATCGTGAACGCGCCCGGCGAGTGGGCAGTCGAAGTTGGAGCGCTCATGGCTTTCCCTAAAACGAAAACTTTTATTAGATGACATGAAAAGTAATGAAATGACGAGGAAATTAAAAGTTTACTCCTTCAATTCTTTTTGAAAAAGTTGAAAACAAGAAAACAAGAAAACAAATTTTCCGCAAAACGTTTGAATACAGTTGACGTAAAATAAGCGGTAGTAATGTCTTCACTTTCAAATCTGCAATGCTTTATAAAGAGTTTGGCTCGAAGGGATATTCATTTATTCAATTGAATATTCATTTATGCAATTTAACAAAGTATAGGCATCTCCTAAACAAGTTTATCGTCGTTCGGTCATTCAGTCATTTTGGTCTTTGTTTCGCTTTTTCTACATTTTGTTTCTTGCTTTTTTTTCTGTTAATCACACATACTTTAAAAAGAACGGGCAAATCGAAGAATGAAATCGGCGAACGTGTTACGAATAGGAGATCAAGCGCCTGATGGCTCGATTTACATGGGCCAGGCTCGAGTCCCCGTTCCAAAACCAACACCTGAGCGTGGAGGGTAGGTTTTTATTTTTGTATTCTAAACTTTAGGGGCCTTTTGTTTATATAATATGTATCTAGGTAGATGTTTTCTGTTACGAAACAATTTCTTTTTAGGCCTTTCACCCTGAAAGACTTCGATATTGGACGACCATTGGGCAAAGGCAAATTTGGAAGCGTCTACTTGGCCCGAATTCGAGAAAACGGCTTCATTGTTGCATTAAAGGCTCGTGTTTTTTGTTATGCTCTAAACTTTCAATTTTTAGGTTTCTCTTCAAGTCACAACTCGAAAAGGGCGGTTGTGAGCATCAATTGAGACGCGAAGTCGAAATCCAATCTCATCTGAGCCATCCAAACGTCTTACGCATGTACACTTCCTTCTGGGATTCGAGCAAGATCTACTTGGTGCTCGAATACGCAGAGGGTGGAGAACTCTACAAATCACTACGGACAAGGAGACGTTTCGAAGAAGCGGATGCAGCAGTGGTTGGCTTACTGGATTTATTTTTGCTAATGTGTAGTCTTTAGTACATGCATCAAATGGCCGACGCATTGATCTACTGTCACTCAAAGAACGTGATTCATCGAGACATCAAACCAGAGAACTTACTAATTGGATCGCTTGGGAACTCAAAATAGCAGACTTTGGCTGGTCAGTCCATGCTCCCGGAAAGAAGTGAGTTACATAAAATTCTCATCAATCTAGCAATTAAATTAATAGGCGCCAAACCATGTGTGGAACGATGGATTATTTGCCACCCGAAATGATACTTGGCCACCGACACGGCGAACATGTTTGTTGCTGAGTTATCATCATTTAGAACATTTTATTTTTAGGTGGATTTATGGTCGCTCGGCGTCTTATGCTACGAATTTCTCGTGGGATCTCCACCCTTTGAAAGCGATGATACGAGTTACTTATCGAAAGATTCGACATGTAAACCTTATTCCGATTTTCTAACCTAAATTTGTTTAGGTTGATTACCAGTTCCCGTCATCAACTTCTGAAGGTGCTCGCGATCTAATTCCGGAGACTACTAGTGTTCAATCCAGCTGATCGACTGACGCTTCCAAGGGGTTTGTGTTATCGCGGGAGAAACGGATAATTTATACTTTGATAAGTTACGACAAGTCTCTAGTGTAGGTGCAGTTTTAATTTAATATATTCTTTGTATTTTTGCATCTTTTTAGGTGAAGGATCATTCTTGGGTAAAAGATCACGTACGAGCCCGGCGTGAGCGGCGTGAACGAGAGGAAAAGTACAAAGAACGGAGTGGTTCAGGTTCTCGACTTGCCAAATAGGCATTCGGAAGTTTTGTATATCTACGTTAACATTCATTTTATTCATTTGCTTTATAAGTTGTCGCTTATTTTTAACGAATCTGTTTCGAATCGAATATTTATGGAAGAATTGATTGGTTTCAATAAACTATTCATAAAAACACGAAAAGGTAACGGCTATAGAAAATCTTAAGCAGACATGAGTGGATTAGGATAATATTTTTATTATCAAACGACTATGATTCAATTGGATTTCTAAAGTGAAGGCACGTTGTACATCGTGAACATTCTGCAATGAAGAGCTGTCTTGGTTCCAACACAACTCGAAAAGTTACCGGAAATTCACAAGCATCCAACTTAATACTCTTGGATTGGGGTCAATATAAACTCTTACCTGCTTTTCAACATCCTCGACGATTAAATTCCGGATCTCGTGATGCCTTTTGAGAAGGGAAATTGATGGGGCTTTCAGTGCCTTTTCCACTTCGGTGACGAATTGAGTCGTCTTCTCATTTGATAAATTCGCCGATCGCATTAGAGTATCGTGAAAAAATGAGCTTTTTTGACTACAACAATTTATTCAGAAAACATTATAATGGTAATTGCTTAATGGCCATGTGAGTGGGAATGTTCTCGAAGAGAAACGGATCGCGAGAAAACCGAATATCTAAAGATTTCTTGAAAGTGGATATTTCAAGGATATGTTTTTTCCATAAACTAACGGTGGTGGTGGTTTTAGATAGTTAGGATTGTGCACAGCGTAGTGTCCCTTATCGAAGAGAACATCCTCTTCCTCTCGATCATCGACCACTTGACATAAACAACAACAAACCCGGATCAACAGGTAAGCGAATATGGCGATGAATAGTCTAAAAGGGTTTTTTTGTGATTTGTGAGCAATTATTTACCCAATCAGCACCACGTAGAGCCATGGCTGCATTCGAGCGCAGCACTCTCGCCCATAGCAACACTCGTACCAGAGAAAGTTATTTGCGGTACCTGGAAATTTCTGAATTCCTGAAGGTTTTGCTTGATGTCAGCTGTTGCTTTATAAAAGCGAATTACTTTTATATTCTACTTTTATAAAGCTTTATAAAAGTAGAATAAAATGTACTTTTTTTCAGCCAGCAGCACCAAGATCGACTTTAAATCGATTAGGTATTTGCTGTTTTCCTCATTTTACTAATTTTCCCGTTTCCCTTTTTGCAAGCCACTCACACATATAAAAATGCCCCGGAAAACCTTCTAGGTTACACTCTTTTCCCCCAATCGACAAATTGTTGAACGACGGCAAATAGACATAAACGCCGAAAGTGTTCGGCTCCATTTTTGCCTGAAATTGAAGGGATTTGGACCATTTTTCTTAACCCAATACCGACAGTAATCAGTACATCAAAGTCCCATCAAAACGAAAGGCTAATCCCGTAAGAATTGTACCAAAAGCCCTATTTCATTCACCTGAATATCTTTATCTCTGAAGACGCGCCACTTCCAACAACATGAACCAAATGAGAAGTGTTTTAAAAGAGAAATCGATGAGATGCTGTCCTTTTTTCGATCGAATTGTGAATATCAATGAGGTCTTTTGGATTTCAAGTGAGAAACAAGAAAAGAACTGAACAATATCCGAAAAATGACGTAGGAATAGATTTGAAACAAACGCCCATTGACTTCCTTGTTTCAGAGTTTCGGACTAAATGTGTATTTGCTCAAACATTTTTAGGGATCAACCCCGACCATTGCAACATTTTTGAAAGCAATTTATGAAATAAGTAAAAAATTAAATATAAATTAACATAACATGCATAATAACATTGATAATTGCTTGGTGATTTTAACTTCTTTCGGGCTTTCGGGAAAGAACACAACGACAGAATCATTAGATAATATTTGATTCAATAAAAGAAGTGAAAAATGAAAAAACTCTACCTCAAATCCGTTCTCATCGATGTCGATCGACAATTTGAAGTCGATCCAATTTGAAGCAATCGGTGTCGTGGGGCGAAGTCTCTATCCCACCAGAATAAACTAAAAGAAACGGATTAGTTTTCAAAAGTCATGGGAAAGTCTTATCGAATATCGATAGACGATGATAAAATTATTTCCAATCTAATTGTGAGTCTGATTGTAAAATCCTAGCCATCCTAGCCGTGATTCAAGTATTTAAATCAACTACACATTACCAAAAAAGCTTACACGGTATTTTGCAATTGGGACAGTTGAGCGAATTGAAGATCTTTACCATTCTATTGATCTAAAAAAGGAAACATTATATTGTTGTAAAGCAAACGATGAAAAACAAATGAAAAAATGGGGGGTGGGACAAATGCTACCTTTTTTTGCGCACCTGGATATTTGCGCACCTTTTTTTTGCTGGAAAAGGCCTTAGGAAAGGTCGTAGAGCTTCAAAAATGTTTTCATAGAAGGGAATCGTATGCGTAGATTCAGAATTTTGACAAATCAGACCTCGCTGACACGTCAAATTTGGACTAAAAGGCAAAAACTGCGGAAAAGCGTTAAATTGCGTAGTTTTTGCCTTTTAGCCCAAATTTGACGATATCGAGGTCTGATTTGTCAAAAATCTGCAATCTACGCATACGGTTCCCTTCTATGAAAGCGTTTTTGAAGCTCTACGACTTTTCCATAATTTTCCAGCAAAAAAAGGGTGCACAAATGTCTAGGTGCGCAAAAAAAAGGCAGCATTTGTCCTACCCCCAAAATTGCAAACTTTGCCGAGACCTAGCCTTAAGTAGCCAAATAACCTCCAGAAAAAGGTGTACTTTATAAAACACCACAAAAGGGTGTCTTTTAGGAAACAGCTTTTGTATCGCTCACGCATTCCCATTCTCTGAGCTTTAATCTGTAAACTAATCTAGATAATTTTACAAGCTTTAGAGCTAATATTTACAAAACTATGATACATAAAGCCTAAATAAAAGCTGAATTTGTTAGACACATTTGTGAAAAGTTAAATTTTATGTAATTTTTGCGAATCTTCTCTACAAACTCGATACTTTTACGATCACAAAAGTGTTCAATTTCCTTTCCATTTCAACTTTACGACTATACTATTTTGATCTTCCCATAAATCCGAGCAGATTAGCGAACATTTTGTCTTCACAAAGTTACATAAAGAAAAAAGCTTAAGTCGACAAGAAAATCTTGTTTTTTTCCCTTTTTTTCACTCTTTTCAAAAACGACAGCCAATTCTCGTTTTGTCAAGAGCTTCTTTCAAGGCTTTTACCGATTTCACTTCAAAAAATTTATGAAAGAATGAGAAAGAAAGCGAGAATCGAGTGATTAATTGCCTAAAATTAGAATAGAACACGGGTTTGAGGGGTAAGACTCGTCAGAGAGTTTTGCAGAATTTAGACGACTTTTCTGAATGGCATTTCTTTTTATATTCGTAATCAGTTTTTTCGTTTTGTTTAAGATTTGATTTTTATACAATGATTTCAGATTAAGGATCTTGATTTGAGAAAACATGAGCTCAAAATTTATTTACTTTTCAAGCTTAATTTTGGATCGTTCAATTGCACAGATAGCTCTTGAGATCTCGATTTGTAATGTCAAAATTTGAACGACTCTTGACAAATCTTGATCTTGAATTGAGATTGAGTTGAGATTGAATTCTTTTGAATTCTTTTGAAAGAATTCAATTGACACTTGAGGATAAAGGTTGTGAAGTTATGATTTCAAAAAAAAATAGGATTAGATGCTAGAGAATTGCTGTTTGATGTGAGCTAAAGGTATTTTATATAAAATAAAATAATAAAAGGGCTTTTATATACTGCTATGGCACTACGAACTCGAAACAAGGATAAGAAACAGCCGACTATTTAATATACTAGCCGACTATACCTGCCATAGCATGTGCATTGTCTCTATATATCAATACTGGATTGAGATAAGTACAGCTTAAACTTATTTTCTAATGTCATCAATCAATAGAACATCTTTTCTAAAAGATTGGTAACTTTGAAAGCTACTGTACCCTATGCATTCTATTCAATTTTGAAGTTTTCAGTGCCATTCGTAATTGTTTAAGTCATTGACCATCAGAGAATTGGACCATCATCAGCTAGAGTTTTCTAAAATTCTTGAATCTAGCTGAATTATAGTTGTAGTTGAGCTGAATCTAGCTGAACTTTTCAAATCCATCTCTCCCCTGTTCATTTGCAAACCTTTAGCTCACATCAAACAGCAATTCTCTAGCATCTAATCCTAGTTTTTTTTGAAATCATAACTTCACAACCTTTATCCTCAAGTGTCAATTGAATTCTTTCAAAAGAATTCAAAAGAATTCAATCTCAATTCAAGATCAAGACTTGTCAAGAGTCGTTCAAAATTTTGACATCACAAATCGAGATCTCGATTTGTCTTGGCTTGAGGCTTGAGAAATTCTTGTGTTTATGCCTTTTTTTTTCTCTTTTTAACTTGAGATCAAGAATTATCTAAAGATAGAATTATCTAAACATAAACATGTCTAATTATCTAAACTAAACAGTGTTCAATTGCACAGATAGCTGTTTGAACACTGTTTTAGTTTAGATAATTAGACATGTTTATGTTTAGATAATTCTATGTCTAGATAATTCTATGTTTGGAAAATTCTTGATCTCAAGTTAAAAGAGAGAAAAAGGCATAAACACAAGAATTTCTCAAGCATTTCAATGCCAAAACAGTGGGGGGAAAGT